GTTCTTTAATCCTTGTTTTCACTTTTCTTTTCGTTTAATCAACATATGTAGAATTACAATCCAGACAACCAATCTTATACACCACCTCACATTGTTCCATCTTATGCAACTTGTCTTTGCCTAGTTTTATAAATTTATTAAGTGTATTTGTGGGTTTGTAAGCCACTTTAAAATTATTCGTTGACGCAATAGTCTTAAATTTATAAGAATTTGTATTAACAAAAGATAAAATATTTTTTTCTATTAAGATCACTAGATTCATTATTATTGTTATCATTTGTATAAATATTTATTCTATTCGATAATTTCTTTATTCTATTGTTTACAGTGGAAAATATTAATTCTAGAGGATAACCATTCAAGATTAATATGTTAATCATCGCGTTAATGTTTTTTGTGTGGAACTCAGGGCGTGATACGAGGGGCACTATATTTTGAGCCTTGGCAACACTGAGTGTTGTCAGGTGCCATTTGACGTTTCCACTAGAAAGTTTGACATTTTTGACCATAACCTTCTTCAGAACGTTTTGTTATTTGAGCGCGATTTGTATTGTTTACAGTCACTTGAAAATTGTGTCTCAGCGAAAAAATGGAATTAACTCGTGAAAATTTTCGTACAATGATTTATTACGACTTTCGACGTGGATTATCAAGACAGGAGTGCATCGATCAACTTACTTCCACTTTTGGCGATAAAGCCCCATCCTTTGCCACTGTGAAACGCTGGTATAACGAATTTAATCGTGGTCGCCGTTCGCTCACCGACGAAAGTCGTGAAGGTCGTCCAAAATCAGTTGTTGTGTCAGAAAACATTGATGCTGTGCAAAAACTAAAAATGCAAGATCGTTATGTGACATACTGTGAGATTGAGACAACCTTAGGCATTAGTTCCACCAGCATATATAAAATACTGTATGATCATTTAGCCGTGAAAAAGGTTTGTTCTCGTTGGATCCCACATAATCTGACAAAATCTCAAAAAGATACTCGTGTCGATTGGTGCAAACAAGTGGTTCGAACGCATGCAAAAGTGTATAGATCATAAAGGAGAATATTTTGAAAAACAATAAAGTCATTTTCAATGACAAATTACTGTTTTTTTATTATTAGGCTCAAAATATAAATAGTGCCCCTCGTAGCATAAGTATTCGATCTAGCTGTCCTATTATCACTCCTTTTTTATGTTGTATCGGGTGGTTAGATATGTAACTTAAGTATCGGCCCGAATTTATAGGTTTTTTTATATTGGTCGAATTTGATGCTACAATTGTTTAAAATTACTTTTACATCCAAAAAATTCATGTAATCATCTTCGCCATAATCTACCGTAAACTTTAGTCTATCGTGATACATATTGAATTTGTTTGCTATTTTTTCAATTTGATTCTTTGGTGCCGCTAATAAAATGTCGTCTACATAACGGTAATAAATCGGTATATTAACGTTTATAGTGGCAAACACTTTTTCTTCCAAATCCTGGATAACAATATTTGCCAAGATTGGAGACAGTGGAAACCCCATGGACATACCAAAAATTTGTTTAAAAAATTTTTCATCAAATTTGAAGTAAGTTGAATTAATGATTAGAGAGACCGCACTTAAGAATTCTTTTTTTAGAATATTGGTGTTTTTTGCGATATCATTCTATCTTTTTTCAATACCATTGGCTACCAGATCTGTAGGTATGTTAGTATACATAGAATCTATATCAAAAGAACACAGTTTGTAATTAGATTCTAATTTCAATTCGTTTAATTCTTTTACTAAATCAAAACTATTCTTTATAACGTAGCCTCGATTATTCTACTTACCCCTATAGTTTACTGACCCCGGTCTCCCCTACTCTTGAAACCGTATAACTTTTGTTTAAAAAATTTTTTTCCGTCTTTTATACTTCCGACGATATTCGGCTCGAAATAGAAATACCATTTTTTTTTTTCAAAGGGGTTCACCCTTTAAACATGAGTTAGCGCACGTATAAAAAAATACGTGTCTCTCTCTCTCTCTCTCTTAGATTTTCGTGTTTAACAACATATTTCATGGAGAATCAAATCGGTCCCGAACAGTTGTGAAACTTCCCTTGTTAGATCATCTGAGATCGAAATTTTTATCATGACCAAAAAATGACATAAATTCGTCAATATGACGTCAAATTAACATTATTTTGATTTTCTTGTTCTCTTTGGGACACGTTAAGTCATTAAACTCGTAGACCAGAATATTCTATAACGCGGATATTGCTATCAACTCAATTGCGATATAGATATGATCTTATATGTACGTTAATTTCGCATATAGTCGCCTCGCCGATCAATCCATCGCAATTCGACGATGAGGCTTGATTGCTTGGTTAGTGACGCGACAAATATGGAATACGGACCGCAATTTCTCGCCGAGCCCTGGGGGTAAATACCGCGAAATCAGAGGATAATCATACTCTATCGCTTTTCCACAATCTTCCACTTCGTTGATATTTTGATATGCAATTATTTTGAAACATATGTATATAATAACGATCGAATAGTGAACCGATAAAAATTACCCGCGACCTTATCTTTTCATCCTGATTCAACTGTTAGACGGAACAATAATGTACAATTTTCCCTCATTTCCTGCGAAAGAAATACCCAACTTTTTTAATATAATATCTCAATCTCAAAACAAATATCAAGTTTCCTTTTTCTTTACTTACGCCATTACGGCATATAAATATATTAATTTTTTGCAATCAATTATTTACAGGTTTTTAAGATGCTTATTAGCTTCATTATTAAAATAGACGATCAATCTAATTCGAGATTAATTTCACCTTCAGTTTAAGATTACATTTTGAATCCAACAAATCTTATCGGCGCACAGTTAAAAAACTGAAATAATACACTGCTAAAAAAATGTTAATTTTATTGTAACTTAAAAACATGTAGTGGACTTTTTGAGATATTCAAAAATGTTAAAGTCTCAGAGAGTCCAATATACATATTTAAGTTAAAAAATTAACATTTTTTATTTTTAACAGTGTATATTGGCAAAAATTTGTATTTAGTACTAACACTAAGTTATTAAGCACTAAGATCCGCTTTAACCGAAGATAGGATTATTTCTATTAATTAATAAATATATTAAATTGCTTAGTAGCGTGACAAATATGAAATACGGATCTCGTGTATTAAATTCATAAATTCGTTCATACTCTCAGGGTCAAGGCCGCGCATCAGATGCGGACGATACGCGGCATTGACTCCGATATTACACAACAGAGAATGCTTCGGCGTGTGTCGTTGCTTCTCGATGAGGTCAATACACTCGTCGTTGCATTACGCGCGATGAGTTCCATTATGCTCTCTCTATCATCCTAAGTATCTACTCTCGACGTATTTACGCGCGCACGTGGATATATCTGCGCGCATTGTTTGCGAAATAAAAACACACAGGGCAAAAATCAATAACTGCTACTGCATATTGATTATTTCTTGTGTAAATGCAATCAATAACTGCACGTTCTGATTGCTAATATAAATGATTTTCTTTCCGAATGAATTTGAGTTTTTTTTCCATTTGTACATCGATATTATGATTTAGAAAACAATCAATTAAAACTACGTTTTCGAGAAACATAGTAATATAAACAACTGTGTAATAAGAAAGATAAATTCAATAATAAATCATGATTTTTGGTCAAGACAAATCGATTGTTATTTATTCTTGCTGTTACATTATCGGCGAAATTTGTACTTTGCGCAACTATTTAAAAGAAGATGTGAGAAAAATAGAAAAATTTAAAGTTAACATTACGAATTCATTCTTCAAAGGATTAAAAAGTACCTATATATTATAAATAGTACTACTATCATTACGGAAACTGTCTTACTTTATTTTTTATTTAAATTCAAAAATTTTGCAAAAATCTTGACGAAGCATTATAACACTTTTGTGTACACTCAATTAATCTGTTTGTATTTCTCATCGCGTTCTCGGACAAGGTCTCGATAGCCGATTATGCGAGGAACTTAATGCGCCACGATCTCGCGAGATGATCGTAAACATAAAACGCAGAAATGGCGCGCGGCAGGGACGAGATAAAAATCCGACTGCGGTTTGCCTTTCGTTCGCTACGCGAATTCTCCGCCGTGAAAAACTCCGGCAATTCTCTCGCCGAATAGGAAAAGCAATCCATAAATTTCGATGTGCGACGTGCTTTAGATCCAAGTGGCATTTTACTGCGCGTCGACAGTACACGTGCATACGTGTATACGTACGCAATATGAAAGATCAATTTCATTCGCGAAAGCAATGAAAAATAAAAAAATTACAGTATCTTTGAGTATATGCAACGATATCCTATATTCTTATTATCAAACGGCAAGAAATAACTGATCTTTTCGTAATACCCTTATTTACATTATGTAAACGACGTATGGTTCCTTGTATTCCATGTGCAGATGTACATATATTTCTTCGTAATATGCATAGAGATGATATAGTATAGAAAGCAGGATTCGATAGTACAATACATTATTTATACATGGAATATACGTAGATGACAAACATTGTTTTACGTGCGATTAAACTTGGAAACACGATGCATAATTATCACGAGGATTACAGCGAGAGGATTTTGCAGTTCGTATTACAAAGCATACTACTTAAAGCAAGTCGCAACAATATCTTGCGACTGCCGACACGTGCAATACGCTCAAATAATTGCAAAATCCTTAATTTAAAAGTGTGGTAAAATTAAGTTCATAAAGTACGAGAATTAAGTAAATCCTTTCCATTCAGTCTTAAACATTACACTAAATATTTTTACAAGTCAGGGTAAGAATATTGCCTGGAGAAAAATGAAGAGTACCCTGTTATTGATTTAATATTTTTAAAACAGCTTTATGACTATATATATATATATTTTTTATACATATGATTAAATTTTTAGGGAAATAATTTAAGGATAATGTGATATTTATTTATTTTGTCGTTTCTTTCACTTTACGATTTTCATGCAGAAACCCAACATGGTGGAAGAGGCGGTCCGGTTTGGAACGCGGATTAACGGTGATAGCGGTTTCCGGGTTCCTCCTGTGCATCGCTTTGGCGGTCGCCCTCGGAATTTTGGCGGCCAACACGACATGCAACACCAAATCCGGTAAGAGTACTTACTTTTATAGTGATCTATAGTGCAACATAAGCCGTTCACCATGCATGTTGCAAGTATGCAGTATTGTCTGAGAAGCACAGAAGCGAGACAGCATTTTTCTCTTTTTATGAAAGTTGTGTTGAAATCAAAAAGACCTCACTTACGTGTTACTTTTTATGAATTCTTTAGATCTTTCTTTCAGAACTGAATCATCAAAATATGTGTTGCTTTTGTTATACGCTTTTATCTAGAAATGATGTACAGTGAGATATACAGAATGATTCAGTATAGGAAAAACCTGAAATAAGATACTTAAATATATCTTTTGAATTTCAAAACGATAAAGAAAAACTTATAGATCAATTTATGATTCTGAATATCTCTAGTATTTCAACTTTTAATATAAATTAAATAATGTAATTTTGTTTTGTTTTTCTCATGATTTATATTACAAAATAAAATTATAATCTTAAACGCGCAATAGTAAAGAAGATCTAAGCGCATGTGTTTCGTATTTGTTTGTGAAAGACTATGACCATATGACATTTCTGCATATGCAGGATCTGATTTAGCTTAATAAAATCTTCTCAGATTTTAAGAAGTATTCGATTTTTTCAATTGCGTAAAGTATAAATAATATTAATAACATTTCTTTTTTTTACTTTAATGAAGTTTTTTACTTTAATGTTGCTTTTGCAACATTTAAATTTGTAAACCCGATCCTGCACCTGCAACAACTAAGTATCATACATCTTGAGACATCTTAAGATTAACGTACGTTAGTCTCTCGTTGCAACAAAGACATTACTTAACATCATCCAATTGCATTAATGCCTGAAGCGAAATTGCTAGTAACGAGCAAATCATAATTCCTCGCAATATGGCAGCGACAGACTTCTGTAATAGCTTACGTGATACGCAACTTGCAAAAATCTAGATTTAATCCCTTAAATAACTGCTTTTAACTCCTCTCACATAACAAATACAAAAACTTTATGTCATTAAAAGGTTCGTGATTCCCGTTAGTACTGCTCGAATTGTACTGATATATGTAATTTGAAAACAAAATTCCAACAATTACCAATTTTAATAGACTTTAAATGCACAAAATATCACTTGGAAAAAAAGTTTTATGCCGTTAATTTATCACAATTTCAGCGACATTTCTTCTTTAGTTCTAACAAAATTCTATGCTCTACAATCATTTTTAAACAAAATTCCGGCTGTTATTTTTTAAATTTTGTTTTCTTAGTATAACTCTTCTTTATTTTTATGAGTAACTGTAGAGCTATGAAAATGCTCCTGGAATTGTCATTATTTTTTTTTATATTAATAGAATTTTTATATTAATGTCTTGCTAACTTCACAGATACACATATATTTAGATTGTGAAGTTAGTACGCCGTTCTATTAATGTAAAAAAATAATGACAGTTCCAGTAGCACTTTTTATTATATTCCTACACTTCCTAAGCAAAATAAAAAAAGTTCCGCTTACTAAAAAATCGAAACTAAAAATATGACATGCTAACTTCGCGAATCTAGCACGACACTTCTCCTCTAAAAAAAGAAAAAAACATATCAATAAATAAAAGAAGGGCTACGAGTCAGATATATCTGGCTAAATAATAATTTATAAAAGAAATATATTTTCACTTTTGACTACAGTTTTCGTAGGATGACAAATTTCTGACACTTGTTATAGGAATCTATAAACACATAGTAATTTTTAATACATTGAAATAGAGAAAATTTTCTCTATTACGTGTCTCATTGTTGATAAAAGATAAATTATTCATTTACAAATTAAATGCTATTTGAAGGAAGAATATGTGGAATGCGTAATAAAAGTTGCTAATGAAAAAGCAAAATTTATTTTGGTGCCAGAAAGATATTTTAATGGACATTTTAATGGTACTTAAATTGTACGCTTTTAATTGCCGTTAGAAGTATCGTCATGATTATTTTATAGTTCTTATAAATCCACGTGTCGTTTTTCTTTGACATCTCGAGAAAAAGATCCAAAGATGTTTTTTAATGTAACAAGCGATGAATATATTTACGATCAAAGCCGTTCGGTAACGGTACGTACCCGCATCGTAAAAATTTTAACTGTGCGAAAGTAAGACGCGTAATTGCAGCGCGGTCATCGTAAATTTTATTTCTACGTCGGCGCCTTATATTAAAATGCTCCACCCGTTCATTAAACACAAAACAGAGAATTACATTACAAAAATATTTCCGCATTGGATTACAAGAGGACTCTATCATTTGATTAATAACGTATATTTCATACAAAGACGTGTTTTAAATTAATTAAATCCACGAAGAAGTAACACTACTTTAAAAAAGTAAAGCTCATGGCACATACAAAAACGGTAAGACAATAAGATGTAAGCAATAAGCAAATTGGCCAATCACAATAGAAACCAAAGGTCCGTAGCAAATCCAATGTTACAATTTCCTTACTACGTCATACTGCCTATACGTTTTTATATGGACTTAACCACAAAATTCATGACGTGCAAATCGAAGTGACGTCAACGAAAGAGTAATTCTGACGCATTTTGATATTTCTAATGAACAAATATTGTTTTGAGAATTATTCATTCGCTACGCGTATTCGTAGTAACAAGCCCGTTAAACGTAATCACGTTAGTTTACAACGTGTACACCCCCCATGATCTAATATTTTGATTGCGCATCAATTTGGCATCGAGCTTACAATAGCGTCATTACTGACGCATTCAAGATATTTTCGGAGTATTTTTAAAAAATTGACGGAGAATACGAAACGAGACAGCGCTCGGTTTGATGTTGTCTTTGGTAGATGTTGCCTTTTCTTATGTGAACACATATAATAATTATATACGCAATCCGACGAAGAATAATAATTGATGAAACATCATGCAACCTTTACGTAAATACGATTGGATTGAGAGGAAGAAAGAGAGAGAATCGCAATTATAAATCTTTTGTTTCAATGTAATCAATTAACTTAATCGGTTAAAAGATAATCTTTTAGGAATTCATGCGTGTCTCTCGTAATAGAAATATTGTAAAGACAAAAGGGCGAAATAAATCATTTCTTAATGTGCAATGTAGTTTTGGCATCCGATTTAAAAAATTTGTTGCTGTTTTTTTATAAAACATATTTTCTAGAATTGATTTCCCTTGTCGTATCGTTATATGTAATGTTGACTATAGATACAAATAATTTATCAAATTTTGTCATTACAAGAGAATATATCTTCTTTTTAAAATACGCTGCGGAATTTTCCTAAAAAAAGATAAAGAGACTTTCATTTTTTGACAAAGTGGATTGATAATAGATTTAATCGTATAACAACATACAACACAATACACGCATGCTAGCAACTTGAGAGAGAAACGATATCAAACTTCATTGTGTATGCAGTTTAAGTTTTATCACGGCTTGTGTGTTCCGATGCTTCGCATTCATTAATTTGATGCTGTTATGCATTTTTTTTTCGCACCTGCAATCACACCTGCATCCGCACGAGAACAGATACTGTTAACGTAGAGATGCTACCATCCACAGCCGAGGCGTTAAGCGGTTTGGAAACATCGAAGAACATAACAACACTGATGGCGAAATGCAATGATGTCTGTTTAACATCTGAATGCATTCACACAGGTCAGTAAAAAATACGGAGAAACTTAAATTTTTTATCTATTTAAATATAATTATTTTAGTAAATTTGTATCGTCATATGACTAATAGATGGATATCGCATATTTTTAAAACATTATTTTAAAAAGAATTACGAAATATCTATTTTATGTAGCTTTAAAACATTAAAAACAGAAAATTTTAAATAAAACTTGAATAAATAATTTTAATCAAATATTCTATATCTACCTGAATAAAAAATAAATAGTTTATTACATGTTTGTAAAAGAAAATAATATATTCAATATTGAGATATACTATTTTCATTTGATAGTCGGTATTTTTCTTTTCGGTAATATTTATTCATGTATTTGTGATTAATAACCGGAAATTTTATCAATAAATAACGAATATTTTTATCTTTATATAAAAGTTGCTTTTGTCAACAACACGAAATTCAATCATCGATTTGTTAGAAAATATTTACTTATCAAAGATATTTCATCAAAATGTAAACTTCAATATTTTATACGAGAGAAATTAATTTTATAAATTGTTTTATTAAAAAACTAAGAATTCCCCCCTATTTTGTCTGAAGATACTAAATTGTACTAATCTGTTCAATATATATCGCAGCCTCTAACGTAATAAAAAATATGGATCCTAATGTGGAGCCCTGTGATGACTTTTACAAATTCGCCTGCGGTGGATTCTTAGAATCCACAATTATTCCCGACGATAAAACTAGCGTGACTGCGTTCTCTACTATCGTTGATGATCTCGAGGAACAACTGCGACTCAGCATTGAGGAAGAAAGTCCTCCAAACGAGCTGAGACCGTTTAGGCTTGCCAAAGACTTCTACAAGGCCTGCATGAACAAAAGTAAGCAGCCGCGACATGAAATTCCATATAAGTCGTCAAACTTGAAGTATGCAACAGACTCTTTTAATGAATCCAGTGAAATCACAGCAAAATTATAAATCCTATTGATTTATTTCACGAATCATTTGAAGTTTGATCTTACTATACACATTTCTTCCGAAAAAAGTTATTTATAATTGGGATACTTTAATACATAATGTGTTAGAAGAATAATTGCATTTCAAATCCTTATTTTTAGAACCAATATATAACGCCAAAAAAAATATGATAAAGATATAATACAAATTGAAACAAAAATTTTATCTTTTTTTCATTCTAAAATATACTGTTTTTTTTTCAGCCGCTATCGAGGCGAGAGGCTTGACACCATTATTGAACAACCTAAAAAAACTCGGTGGCTGGCCCGTTCTGGAAGGCGAGAAATGGAATGACGGCGACTTCACTTGGAAAGATTCCGTTTACAAATTCCGGAGATTGGGCTATTCAGTGGATTACTTCATCGATTTCGGCGTCAGTGTCGACTTGAAGAACAACTCTAGGCGTTTGATCGACGTAAGCACGTAACGATTTATTTCGAATACAGGATCCACGATAAACGCAGAACGAAGATTATAATTAAATACATAATCATACGTAAAATGAAATAATATCGAATAAAATAATACAAAATATAAGTATAAAATATAAAATATTTTCTAACCGAATATAATATTTGTTTTCAATCAACCAGTACACGCAAATAAAAATTGATAATTTTTTATAGCTCGATCAAGCAGCGCTTGGACTCTCGCGCGAATATCTGTCGAAAGGCTTCAACGAGAAAATCGTCCAGGCATATTACAAGTACATGGTGGATATTGCTGTAATTCTCGGAGCCGATTCTGACCGAGCCCGCACAGAATTAAAAGAATCACTTGAATTTGAAATAAAGCTTGCAAATGTAAGTCATCCTTTATATTGATAAAATAATTTTAAATAGGGTGTTTGATAAAATTGTTTTTTTAAATCGCCAGTCGATTAATTAAATAGATTAATTGATTAAATGGATAAATATGTACGCAGATCTCTCTGCCCAATGAGAAACGGCGCAACGTGACTCTTCTCTACAATCCCATGACTGTGAATGAGCTGTCCTTAGCCTATTCTAATATACCGTGGTGGGAATACTTTAACACCATCCTCGCACCGCAAGCACAACTAACTCAGGACGAGATAGTTATTGTGAATGTACCCAGCTATCTAAAGGACTTCGAACAACTAATCAGTACGACGCCAAAAAGGGTGCAGGCAAACTATGCACTTTGGAGAGCAACTGCTGCGTCGATCAGCTATCTAACGGATGACATCCGCAAGAGGCAACTCAAATATACAACGGAGTTAAACGGCAAAACAGAAACTCGATGTACGTAAGAAAGTACTTTAAGGAGGATGCGAAAAAAACCGCGCTCGAAATGGTCGACGATATCAGGCAGGAATTCACAAAGATTCTGAAGAGGGTGAGAGAATACAAAAATTTAAATTTAAGGAGATGTAAAGGAGATGAAAACCTTATAATCGATACTTCTTATATTTAAGATTGAAATTTTAAAAATAAAATAAAAATCTCTTTCTTTTTTTTTTATATTTCTCTCTTTATCTGAAAATTATAATAAATTAAAATCAAAGAAACAAGATGAAAAAATATAAATCTCATCACATATCCTTATCAAGAAATTAGAATCTTGGAAATGAGATTTTATAGTTATTTTTGTTCTTAAGAAATATATGTTAAAGATATTAATTCTAAAAATCTCTGTCATATATTTAGAAACGTTAGTAAATTTTTAACGAGATTACACGTTTTTAGGTGGACTGGATGGATGAGAAGACCAGAAAAAATGCTTTAGAAAAAGCAGCCGATATGACTTCACATATTGCCTATCCAAATGAATTGTTGGACGACAGAAAGCTTGAAGAATTTTATCAGGGACTTGAATTGAGTGCTGACGATTATATGGGTAGCATTTTTAACTTATCTATTTTTGGAACGAATTTCTCATTTGGCAGGCTAAGACAGCCAGTAAATAAGACAGAATGGATAAGTCATGGAAGGCCAGCTGTCGTCAATGCGTTTTACTCGTCGATTGAGAACAGTATTCGTATGTATAAATAATCTCGTAAATATTAATAAAGGAATTGACGTATACTTAAATAATAAAATCTATAAAATTATATTATTTGAAAAATTCCTCATTCTTTATTTGTAGCTATATACTGAATTTTTTAATTTTTCATAGAATTCCCCGCGGGTATTTTGCAAGGCATATTTTTCAACAATGATCGGCCACATTACATGAACTATGGCGGCATCGGCTTTGTTATTGGCCATGAGATTACCCACGGCTTTGACGATCAAGGTAGACAATTTAATAAGGAAGGTAATCTCGTTGACTGGTGGGAGTCAGAGACGAAGAAGCGTTATCTCAAGAGAGCCGAATGTATAATTCATCAGTATGGAAATTATTCCGTGAAAGAAGTTGGATTGAACGTAAGATTAAATCTTACATATCTATGTTTATTAAGTTTATTTCCATGCTATATGAATTTTTTATATATTTCTGACGGAAAAGACAAAAACATTTCTATAAATAAAGTCTACGGTTTAAAAATACAATTCAAGAGCTTTAAAATGAATTTTAGTTCATGATCGATCGTTCAATTTATTTAGAGAAACAAAGTGAAACAAAGTTTCGTTTTGTAAAACAATATTCAAATAGCCAAAAATATCATTTTTAGCACACTTCATCTCAATTTACTTAAAACCCTGAATTTCTACGCAAATTCTACCAACGATCGTGTTCAGCATAAAAAAATTCAAAATCTGTACTACAGCACTTCAAAGAGAAAAAAAAGTGATTTTTTTATCGAGCTGTGTTATCGTTCAAATCAATGTTTATTCATTATGTAGCAGTATTATAAGAATATTAGAATATTCATGAGCGATAAGAGTAATGATAATGATAACAAAAGTTTCGTAATATCATACGAAATTAGGCAGCAAAATGACTTTACAAAAACACTCAGAAAAATATGCAGTATCTTTATGAGTTCTTAAATTTTCATCGTAGTTATACGCGAAAAAAAATGATTCGTTGGAGAAATTAAAATGTACAAAGCAATTCAATGATCAGCATAATTGTTAAGTTATTCATTTTGCGATATAATCAGTATAATACATTAATTAATATAACACGAACCACGAACATTTGTACAATTTTTAAGGTGTATATAGAGTAAATTAACATTTTAAGGATCCCCCATAAAAATAATATCAAATTCTTTTTATATAAAAAATTTTCTAGTTTGAAACTTTGTCATAATATATGTTACGTTTTTACAGCTGAATGGGATAAACACACAAGGTGAAAATATCGCGGACAATGGTGGCATAAAGGAGGCCTATTATGCATACAAAGAATGGGTCAAACGAAACAAGCCGGAGCGGAGATTACCGGGTCTGCCGTATAGCCCAGAACAATTGTTCTGGATAAGTGCAGCTAATTCTTGGTGCAGCAAGTATCGACCGGAAGCACTAAAGCTGCGAATTACGACTGGCTTCCACAGCCCAGGCGAATTCCGCGTTCGAGGACCGTTGTCGAACATGGAGGAATTCTCGCATGATTTTAATTGCCCGATTGGCTCCAGAATGAACCCCGAGAAGAAATGTACCGTGTGGTAGATCTCAGGTGTCGGCAAAATACGAACGAACGACACCGGCTGACTCCGTTTAACCTTAGAAGTTACAATTCCGCGTGCTTATTGCTTCGTTGAAACAACCAATTGTATTTTTAGCAGCTCAGTATTAGAGACACATTCAAATGTATGACATTCTTGCTTTTTAAAAAAGAGGATAGCATTTGGTCTCAGATACTAAGCTGCTTTGTATTTCATACTTATGAAATTAATTATTTATTTGAAATTAATAATTTATTTTTTGTTATATATTTCTGCAATTTCCAAGTATTTATATTGTCACTTCTGAGGTTAATAAATGCAACGGAGTCGTCGATCTCATACCAACAGTATATGGAGGTAGCTTGTTCCCCTCTTACAGTATCCTGCCATAGCGACATTGCCGCAGCAGAGAATATTTTATCAGTGACGCTACTCGAAAGCAAGAACTGAAATTTCGCTATAATACAGAGTATGCAAAAAGGAAGCATTCTCCACAGGGAAATCCATGGAGATCGAATCGACCTGCCTCACCTTAGACATGTGGGATATATATTATGTATTGTCTTTAATAAATTTTTATAAGAAGTGTCGCGGGACGCATGTACGTGTAAATAGAAAGAAACTGAAATAACGTCGGGTTTGAAAATTAATTAATTATACAAAGTTTGATTGCTTAATTATTTTTAATACTAAAGCATTAGTGATTCCTATACCAATGACAATATTTGTCAAAGGTTTTAGATTATTACGGAGAATATTAAGTTAAATTGTCTAGAGTGCTCTAATGTAGTTGAAGATTTTCAAGTTTGAAGATTTTTATGGTTGACATGTATGGTAAAAAATGTTGGCAGCTTTATTAAGAATTTGCTTTTTATCCTTTTTTTTATTGTTGATTGCTTTGTTAAATTTGCTTCTTATTGTTAGAATAAATTTTAAAGTATTTTATTGACACGGAGATGAATAGCAATGTGGTACACACTGATATAGAATGAGCCGCAAAATCAATAACGAGAAAGAAATATGAATAGAACCGGCATGAATATTTTTCAATAAAAGAGGATACAACTTTTTCACTTTTTCGCAATGTTCGGAGATCGTTTTATTTCTACATTTCCTTGTGTATTTCTTTATGAAAATCGAAATTTATCATAATAAGGACATTACGCTCAAAAAAAATTAGTATATTGAGATGAAGTTAACAATTCTTAGTCACATATAGTTACAAAATTGCTGTCAGTTCTGCTTCAATCATTTAAAAACTAATTCAGAATTGTGTTGATTCAACTCTCTCCGAATTAGTTTTTAGATGATTGAAGCATAATTGATAGCAATTTCGTAACGATGTTAATAAGGAAGCAAAAAAAAATTGTATCCTCCTTTAATAGGTTTTTTTCTAATAAATATTAGAAGCTATCATTCGTCACAACTATTTTATGTTGAGTATTATTTTATAGTATTATCAAATAGCAGTTAAATAGCAAATTAAATTTTCAATCAATCTATGTAATAATTAAATTAAGCTAAAAAAAAATCAAGTTTTTGTTGTTCGTTTTCTTCCTTAAAATCAGATTCATTAGAAAGACCATGACGGTATGCAAAATTAAAAGAACTCGTAATTATTATCTAAATTATCAAACTCAAAAGAATAATCGATCCTCAATATTCTATAATACATATGAACCACATTTCGTATATAGTCATATAGTATCGGCGTATCTGCGAATTCAGACAATTTAGCGCGATAATTTTTTTGTTGTATGTTCTCATGTAAGATCATTAGTCGTTAGAAAATTATGAAGTTACTTAGAACCAAGTATTAAGCGTAGCTATTTAACTGCGAGCGAATAATTGAAACACGATGTTCGCAATTGCTTTCCACCGTGTTATCTTTTGCATCCGTATATACATTACATTTTTTTTTGCGCCACATCCTTTCTTGCACACATTTTTTGTATTTATATTACGATGGTAAGTTAATCACCGAGTTAATTACTGTAAATTTAAGTAAAGATATAGTACCTTATAAGGTATTTTTGTTGAATGTAAGAATTTAATACAGGAAAAACTTCATGTAAATATAAAATGGTACTTTTACACATTTCCCATTTAAAAAATATCGCACTTCTTCCGGAATATAAAGTAAATAATTTTCAGCCTGACTGCGCGAATTGGCGCGCATAAAAATTGAAAAATATCGTGGAGGAGCACTTAACGCTATCCCATATAGCACAGACTTCCAAGGGATGTCCTAAAGATGTTCATAGGTAAGATTATCATTCTGAATCATAAGAAAAAAAAGAATTTTTTTAAAAAGAAAACATTTTTTTAAAAAAGATGATCTAGAAATAGAAAGACGAGGTATAAATTTCTTTGGTTAAATGTAGATTTTTAATAAAATAAAGTTGCGTGAACATAATTTGAACATTTTATTAATATAACTTTATAAATACAAAATTTTAATTAATAGCCAGAAGTTTTACGACTTCAAAAAAGTACATGTTCTCTCCCACACAGTATGAAATATTTATATAAAAAATTTTTTGAAGTATTTTATTTATTTTAATAAAATATTTGAGAAATATTTTGTAAACATTTGTAAAACGTTTTAAAATATTACATTAAAGTGTTTCACACAAATATTTCAGAAATATTGTACAAATATTATGAGAAAAGATATTTTTCAAAAACTCTGATTTCTTTAGACTCATATTTTAGAAATATTTCAAATCTTGTAATGAAATATTTTGGAAAAATATTTAAAATATTTTATGCTGTGTAGGCTTTTAAAAGAAAAAGTACGGCTGGTAACCCTATTCATAGGACATCTTCCTTCGAAGGACATGTCGAGGATATCTCTACGATAAAGTGTGTTGTGTATCTCACTTACTTTAGCGTTAGGGTAACCACTGTACCTTGCAGCTCCGATACCTTGCAGCTTCGCCATACCGCCAAGCTGATGTTCTTTAAAAGGATGACGAGATAATGAGATGATTGCCCGATCCTCTCACAGGTCGTGGTTCTCCAAAGATGATTTGCTGCTGATATTCGATTTACGACGACGCGAAATCACGCTGCAATCACGAAGGTCGCCATTGTAGTCCGAACTGAATTCGGCACTCCCGACGCGACGAAATACTTGCAAACGAACGCGATCAGCGGCAACTTCGCGCCGATACTCAAGCTATCGCGCCGCGAGAGATTACATACGCCGAAATAATTATCTTAAAAAAACAGCTTATCATAGCGCACTTATGCATTATCTCATTGTTCGTCCACTACATTTCCAATTGTGTCATCATGCGCATTTTTAAAATTGAATAATGAAAGACTCGAGACGATGCGGCGGCAAGTGTCAAAGTTTCGCGCCAAAATGTCGAAGCCATTACAGTATCGATTACCAAATTACAGACCGAAATCAATTATCTTCAAAAAACAGTTTATTATCGCGTGTTATCACTTATGCGTTGTCTCATTGTTCGTCCAATGCATTTCCAACTGCGTCATCATGCGCATTTTTAAAATTAAATAATGAAAGACTCGAGACGATGCGGCGGCAATTGTCAAAGTTTCGCGCCAAAATATCGAAGCCATTACAGTATCGATTACCAAATTACAGACCGAAATCAATTATCTTCAAAAAACAGTTTATTATCGCGTGTTATCACTTATGCGTTGCCTCATTGTTCATCCAACTCATTTTCAATTGTACACTGAGAAAAAAATGCTGTTGATTCAATTAAAATCTATATTACGGGTTGTCACTAGCATAAGTGATTAATTTATGTATATTTTTATTGACATAAAGACATAAATTATTATTTCAATAATCAAGGCTTTTATGTCAATCAAAATATATATGAATTAATTAATTATGTTAGTGACAGCCCGTAATATAGATTTTAATTGAATCAATAGCATTTTTTTCTCAGTGTATCAGCATTATGCGCATTATCCTTTTTTTAAACGAAGACTCGAGACGACGCGACGGCAACTTTTCGCCAAAATATCCGAACAATTACGATATCGAATACGTCGAACGTCAAATCAATTATCTTTGAAAATTAGCTTATCATTGCGCACTTAAGTATTATCTCTGTATTATTGTCTCTATACTTATCATTGTCCTGTCAACATTCGCATTTTCGTCAACTGTTGCGCATTTTCAAACGAAAGTCGCGGTACAGCGACAACTTCCCGTCGATGCCCGAACTATAGGCTGATGTTCCAAAATTGACTGCCTATACTGAAAATCTATAGTACGCATAACGTAAACTATAGTTTTTTAGTACTTGCAGTAAATTTTCGAACACAACCTTGTTGTTCTACTTGGGTACTGAAAATCTATAGTGCATGTAACGTAAACTGTCGCATTTTCAATGCTGGCAGTAAATTTGAAACACAGCCCTAGTTACGTTAGGCCAGAATCAGACTACGCATTAAAGATTGAGATTAAAGATTGAAAATTGAAATTCGACCAATGAGGACAAAGAAATTTTAACTCCTTTTATTTTGATTGGTCAAATTTCAATTATTCAATCTTCAATCTCAATCTTCAATGCTTAATCTGATTCCGATCTTACGAAGATCTATTACGCGCACAGCAAAATTTCAAAATTGTTTTCAAAAAACATTCGCAATTATACGTTGTTTCATTGTTCAACACCACACTCGACGCTTTATTCCTTTCCTGCACATTCAAATTTTTTATATTTTTATATGTATATAATTATCAAAGGACGCATATTGGTAATGGACGCAATAATAAATAATCTGCTGAACACGACTATTGGTCTAATTTCTATCGAAACTCTCGATTCAATTTCTCTTCGGTGGTCAAATTCATCAGAGTACTTGTTTTTTTTGGAAATAGAGACTTTTGTGAATGGCAAAACGAAAATGAATTTAATAAAGACAATTAAACCGAGCGATTGGCTGCGTTCAGCAGAAAAAGCAGCTTTGCAACTGTTGTAAAATTCTTTAATATGATTAGTCTTGTCCTTAGTTCCTCATTGGATCTAAATGTATAAACCAATCATATTCAAGAATTTTACAACTGTTGCAAAGCTGCTTTCTCTGCTGAACGCAGCCAATGGTTCTTATTTGTCGATCCACGAATAAGCTCGCTCGAAGCTTGAGCAAGCTGCATTTCGAAACCCATCGAAAAAAAGTGTTGCAACTTTTTTAGCTCTGACCGTACTTCTCATACAAGCGCGATGTGATTTTTCGATGCGAAAGCATAGCGAAACGTAGAGAAGCGCGCAGAAGTGCGAAACTAGCTTCGAACGACGCGATCTTAAGATGGCGACTGCGCGTGCGCCTTACAACGGATTTTCCGCGATGCGCAACTTTCCTTCCGCGCGCCGACGAAAACTCGCTGAAAAATCCACGAGTAAACATTACACGACAGAGACGATATAGAAAACACTAAATTCTGAAAAAAGTATGTTGTTTTGGGATTCGAAAGCAAAAGCACGGTTCCAAATTAAGGCCCGGTCTCACCTCCGATTAAACTAATCGGCCGATTAAATATTGCCAACTGCAAGACTTGAAAACATCCTTTTTCTGACGAGGCGCCGAATACTCATATGCTCGACTCGCATGGCTTTTTCGCATTTGAGAAATTTGCCATTAATATGGATCTGTACTGTTATTATCACATCGTTCTTCACAATTGCCAGAAAATCAGATTAGGTTTTCAGTCTTGCAATTGGCAATACTGAAATTTAATCGACCGATTAGCTTAATCGGAGTTGGTGAGACCGGGCCTTATGCCCGTGTCACGCTACGCATTGGAGACTGAGAATTGCGAATTGAGGATTAGAATTCAGCCAATTAGAACGAAATGGATTAAACTTAAAATTACTTGATTGGTCGAATTCTAATCCTTAATTCGCAATCCTCAATCTCCAATGCGTAGTGTGACACGGGCATAAGCCCTGCAATCTGTACGATGTGCGCATGCGCAACTCGGAGTTGGATTGCGTTCAATTGCGTTTGTCATCGCGGCCAATCGCACCGATCGCGGCGCAGTGGAGTGGAGTTTGGCAGAGCTCGCGTGAGAC